ACATCTTCAGACTGTCTAGAGTGTTAAGGAGAAACGTATGTGACAAACGTGTAAAATTATATAAATATGTAGAATATAGTAATTAGATATAGATTAGCTGGGTTACATATATATACATATATACATTTGTATATTGTATATTATATATATATATATTTATTATTTATTATTATTTATTATTTATTTATTTATTTATTTATCTATATATTCATATATATATGCATGTGTATATACATACATACACACACACACACACACACACACACACACACACACACACACACACACACACACACACACACACACACATATATATATATATATATATATATATATATATATATATATATATATATATATGTCTGTATGTATGTATGCATACATATGTGTGTGTCCATACATATCTATGTATACTGTATATATCTGTTTGTAAACACATGATACATAAAACCGACCACGTTTATTCACATGTGTCGTCAGGAGCGTCAGCCACAGGATATTCGCTATTAGATCACGTGGAGGATTAGGCAAGGATATGCGAACGTGGTCCTTGACATAGAATCAGCTGAAATATTTTGAAAGATTTTTTTGTTTTGTTTTTTATAGATAATATTGATGATTACTGATATATTGATACTTAATAGTGGAAATATTTTGAAAGATTTTTTCGTTTTGTTTTGGTAGTTAATGTTAATGATTACTGATATATTGATACTTAATAGTGGCTGTGATACTAATTATAATAGTTGTGATGATGGAGGGAATAATAATGATGCTTATGATACTTAATAGTGGCTGTGATACTAATTATAATAGTTGTGATGATGAAGGGAATAATAATGATGCTTATGATATCAATCGTATGGGTTACAATAATCAAGTAGATATCAACCAATGATAATAATGATATAATTAGTAAAAAAACGCAATTACAATAATACAAATGAGGATGACACTAATGATGAACATGATCATGATAACGCTAATATTAATGATAGCAATAATGAGGGTAAAAATAACAATACTAGCAATTATAAATGCATTAGTAATGATGACGATGAAGATTATTATGATGATGATAAAAACGAATCCTCGAAATAAAACAAAAAATAAAAATAAAGAAATACTAAAATAAAAGTAAAGATGAAAATGAAGAATCAGAATGAAATCGAAAAATAAACCAAAATGATAATAATGATAATGATATAATAATAATAATAATGATAATAATAATAATAATAATAAGATAATACTGATGATAATAGTAAAGATAAAATAGTAACGATAATAAGGATGAAAATGATAATAGTAATGATGATGACAATGATAATAATATCAATAATGATAATGATAATAATAGTAGTAAGAGAATAAGAGTAAAAAGCTGAATGATAAAATAAAAATTGTGAAAATAAAGGAAAAATAAAGACACAGATGAGTATGAAATAAAAATAAGAATATTAATAAAGATAGAAATAAAGAGAATTTTTTTTTTTAAACATGAAAAGGAAATCAACATAAAATTGAAACCAAAAATGAAAATAAATGAAGAAATTAAGAACTTCAAACAGAAATAGAATTGAAAACAAAAGATGTAAGTATAAATAAAAAGAAAAAAAGCAATAGAAATGCAAATGAAAAAAGATAATGTTGTGACTATAACTCCTGTTACGAGTATTAATGATAACATTGACAATAACGATAATAGTGATGATAACAAAGATATGCCAATGATGATGATAATGAGGATGAGCATGACATGGATATTTCGTGATTCGTTAATTGAAGATATGTCACTAACTTTCACAATGTCTGGAATATTTCCTTTATCTATCGCCAATACCGTATGACGTTTAGCCTGGCCTTCTTAAATATCTTTATTCTATTTTTTTCATTATTATTATTATTATTATTATTAGTTATTTATTTATCTTTTTTATTTCTATTATTGTTATTATTATTTCTAGTTATTTATTTATCAATTTTTCTTTTTTTTAAGGAGATACAGGAACGTATTTCATATGTTTATTTACTTATTTATGTTTTATCGTCAGTGGAGCAAGCGGGATTGCTAAGTGGTAACTGCTGACCCTGCATCAGTTACCGAGGCATCTCCTTGGCTTAACATAATCTTGATCACGTATTTAGCACTTGGTCTCACCCTTGCTTCTCCTCCGTCCTCCTCTCATTCCCAGTTATCTACGTGACTCGCTCTCCCTCATTTTATTCTCTCGTCTTCATATTTCATGACCTCTATACTTGGTTTGTTTGTGCTCTTCTCTCTTCCTTCCTGATTTTTTACTTTGCCTCTCTCGTTCGTTCTTTCCTACTCCCTTCTTCATGTTTCGACCACTTCCCCCTTTCTTTAACTCCTTCCCATTCCCGCCTTCCGTAACTAAAACCTTCTCCTTCTTCCTCCTCCTCCACCTTCCTTCTTCTCGTTCTCTCTCTCACTCCCTGCAATGGCTCCTTCCCATTCCTTTTCCATTCTTTGACCATTTTTACTTCCTCCTCGTTAACCCCTTTTCCGCACCTTCCTTCCACATGGAACCTCCTCCCTCCACCCCTTCTTCTTTCCTCCTTTCCTTCTTCCACTACGTCTTACACACCTTCCCATTTCCTCCTCCCTCCTTCACCCATTCCTTCCTTTCATATCTAACTTCCTCCTCCTTCCTCGCTCTCGCTCGCACTCCTCTCTGAAGACACAGTGACGAATATCTTACAGTAGAATTAACGTTAGTGCAGAATTCCTTCTCTCTGAGGGCACGATACCTTAAGTTTGTGCGCAACTCCGGTCTTGTGGCGGCAGCGACTTGTCTTGACCTCCACCTACTGACCTTATAAGTGGCCTTGCAACTGCGTGACCTTGCAAGAGAACCCAATAATTCGTCCGTATAAGTGATCTTTTAGGTGCCTTACGTTATGGATTCTGCAATCCTCCCCTTTCGTTTTCATTTCCTGGTTCTTCTGTTGGTTTTGTTGTTGCTCTGTTCTTCCCTTAGCGAAGGGAAATGGAAATGAAAATAGTAGATAATAAGGATATTAATGATAAGGATATTAGACGGATTACGGTGACAGTAAATAATATGTGATGGTTCTGGTGCGGAACGAGAATTATGTGGTCATACTGATGACAATTCTCTACGACAAAAAGAAAATGACATGGACAATGAAAATAATGATAACAATAACGATATTAATAAATCATGAAATAATGATTGTGAATACAAAATACCACTACCAACCATAACAATAATAACCACCACCACAAAGACAGAAAAAAAATCGAAAACACCACGACAACAAAAACAACAAAACACAACCTTACGAACGGCAGTACATGCAGACCACCAAACGACCAAGGAAAACAACACAACAGCTTCAGAAAAGGGTCGTTCGATCCAATGGCTTCTTCTCCCGTACGAAATTTCCACTTTCCTTCGTCACTCCTTTCAAGCAGCAGGGTACACGTCGCCACACCCCTTCAGCTCCTGCCTTCAGCGTCGTGCCATTTCCAGCGTATTTGAGCAGCCTGGATGGTCCTAAGGAGGTCAGCTTGGCGATAAAGCCTTCTTGGTTCCTGCTTCCTATGCCTTTTGGGTCAAATGGCGACGGATTGTTCTGGTCGAAGGCTGTGAGTGGGCAAAGTGGCGTCATTATGCTGCTGTTTGATGTCTTCATGCACACAGACACTCACTGACACACATATATCTATCTCTCTATCTATCTCTCGATATATCTTTCTGTCTATCTATATTCACAAATTATGTATGTATGTATGTTTCTACTTATCCATTCATCTGTCTATCTATGTAACCATCTACGTATCTATCTATCTACGTATTTATTTATATACCTGCTTTACCTACCCATCTAACTACCTACGTACTCACACACACACACACACACATACATGTATATATATAAATGGAGGAATCCTGATGAAGATGACGATGGTGATAATAGTGATAATAACCATAATAGAAAACCATAATAATAAGAAAAGAAATTATATTGATAAGAATATAATTGTAGTGATGATACCAATAATAGTGATGATAACGATAATTGTGCTGATATCAAGAACATTAAACTTCACATCGTAGAACATGTTATTGAAATGATATAACATACAGAAGACTTCTTCCTGATGAGCAGATGTTATTACGAAAATAATACGGTAGGCCTTTCATCGTTAGAGATAATTCATTTTCTCTAATTCATTTTCTCTTCTTTTATGTGTTGTGGATCTTGTTTTTTCTTTCCTTAACGTATTCATGGGGTGTGTTGATGATTGGGATTGAAGGAATGGAATGTATTCGTAGTAAA